CGGGAGAGCAAGTCCGTGCCACCAGAGCCGGCAGCACGCCAGCTCTGCTCCCTGCCAGGGCTGTCACAGCAGCTGCATTCAACGGGCTCCAAGAAGAAAAGGCTTAAGCAGCGGAGTCCTCTGAACAGCAAGGGTTACTTTGCTGAAGCCTGCAGAGGTTGGTGTGGAAGGACAGCCCTTCTTTTAGGATAGTGGAGAGGCGAGTGAGCTGCTTGAGCTCAAGCCAGACAGAGGCTGGCGCTCCTCACCCACTGGTCTAGAGAGCTCAGGTTAATGGGATCATAATCCAGCCAGTTTGTGCTACCAACAGGCACGTTTAGTTTCAGGAAGGAGGAAGCAATGGCTGGATGCTGCCTTTGAGCCAGGTAGAACATCACGCTACTCCTTCCTACTTTCCTCACCCACATGGGCACGTTTGGGGCTGCTTGCTGGGATCTGGCTCCAGGACACGAAACAATGGACAACAAAAGTCACGCACAGCAATGGGAAAGGGAGAGAAGAGGTTGAAAAACACATTGATCCTTCTCAGAGGTCCTTGGCTTGGCCTTTCCTCAGCAGATGACTACTCCCTCAGCCCTGGCAAACATGAAGGAAAATCACCCTGGATCAACTGGGAGCACAGCAGCCTGCCAGCAACACCCCGCATCAGTGAGGCCAGGGGAGATGGCCTCCGAGGACCTCAGCTTCACTCTCTGTCACCTTTGCAGATCAGGGAAGCTGAACCTCTTCTGCGGGCACATGGGAGCTTTGGCTGGATGCTGTGGTATCAGAAGGAGAACACTATTTCCTCAGACCCAGGGTCTCCCAGTGGAACCCCGTTGAGGTTTGCTCACCAGCAACCGCCCCCAGGTGGGCTGTGGTAGCCCCAGGTGCAGAGACAACTTCACCAGCCAACATAAGGAGCACCTGCAGGAGCTGCCTGCCCTGGTGAAGGGCTGAAGCACGAAGGTGTTATGGCAAGCTCCTTGGCTTGCTGCCTGCTCCTGTTCTGGCTTCTGCTCCCTGGCCTGCAGCTCAGCTCCTGCTCTGTGGTACGTAGCCTGACTGGCATCTCCTCTTATTTGAGCAGAGTTATGGTAGCTGGTCCCCTTACGATCGCAGGCTGTACCTCTGCGGTGCTCAGTGTGCTGAGGCTGGGTGTTTTCTCTGACCTTTAGGTGGATGTTTTGTTCCTGTAAGTCAGAAACTGGTTCAAATAAGGCCTGGGCAATTTTAGCCATGGGTGGGGACACAAGCCCCTTCCCCTTCTCAGTTTTAAGAGCTCCTGGAAGGCAGGTGGTGGGAAGATCCTAGGGCAGCTGAGAAGCAGGCCCTAGCCTGAACTGCTGCCCTGGCACAAGACCTCTGTCAGCCCACCCTCTGTCAGCACACCCTCGTGTTTTGGAGCTGGGTTTACTATCGGGGCAATGGGAAGCTTTCACTGTGCCCACAGCTCTTCCTACTTAGATGCTGTAGACGGTACTTCAGCCATTTCAGGCTCACTTAATCATGGCAGCCCCCACTGAATTCGTAGCCAGATTTGTTCCTCTCCTGTTGGCCTAGCTCTGACCCTACGGTGCTCTGGGGCAGTCTGGCTTTGCCCAGATCTAGCCCTGGGCTACGGCACTCCGCAGCTCTAGTCAGAAGCGTTTCAGACCGTGCAGGGAGCAGAAAAGGCCATGCTCTGCGCTTGTCTTCCTCCACCCCAGCTCAAGCCAGAGGAACCTTCTTTAAGGTGCTCAGTATGTTTTTCTTGGGATCACTCCTAGGAGTACAGCGCGTGGCAAGTGGCAGGGGCTGAGAGAAAGGGATGTTTAGGCTTACACGGCCCACGTACACCTTCTTACACGAAAACAAAAGGTCAGTGTGGGAGAGAGGAGAAATGGCTCCTGAGCCTCTAACTCATATGAAACAAGGGAGGTGCTTTTCTCCAGGTAGATCTAATTCCATCTAAGCCCTCCTGTTATGGAAGGGGGAAAAATAAAAGCACCATGTTATCCACCTCTCCAAAAGGCAACCACATAAATTTGGAATCCAAATCGG